ATTTGATGTGCTGGTTGATCGAGTTAAGATGGGAGTGAAATTCAGTGAGATGCTCACGGGCGAGGCAAACGTGGCAAAAAGCAACCCATACCGACAAGTATCTCCATTTCAACTCTCACCACCCTTTGCAACACAAACGCTCAGTGGCCAGAACCCTTCTTGACATTTAGACGCCATTAACATTCATTTCATCACTGAAGAAGGTTATAGTATTTTAGCTGAAACGTCTATTTTAAGATTTTTAAGTCAGTGACAACAACTTTAAGATTTCATTACTATGCCTGACTACAACTACAGTATTTTTAATTAAGCATTTGTAAACATGTTCAAACATGACAAAATTCATGGCACTCATCAATATTCCTTCCTCCTAAATATATATATATTTGCATTGTTCTGTGTGTCATTTTGTAATGATTTCCAGTTCTGCTCTGGTAATTCTCGAGTGATTATCCTGACTGTCTAACATCATGGGTGACAAATTACTTCTTAATTTTGGTACAAAATTTCAGTGTTGATTTATAATTTCACAGGTGAAATTATAAAATTGCCATGGCAATGTTTGGGGCAAAATGTTTCAATACAATAATAATATTATAAACAAATCAAAAACCCAAGATTGTGAAATTCATGGAATTTGTCACCTATAAAATTAAAAGGTAATCAAATAGTATACTCGTGAAATTAGTAAATAATTTCACTTGTGTTTTGTCAAAATTCTTATTATTGACTAGGGAAATTTTAAGAATTTTGACAAAAATTATACAAGTGAAATTGTTTTCTAATTTCACTTGTCACCATCAGGGCTCGAAATTAACAAAATCCTTAAGTCGCAATTTGGCGACTAAGTGGTAAAAAATAGTCACTAAATGTAAATGTTTAGTTGCAAAATCTAATAGAAGAGACACAATCCATAGACATACATGACATACTCAATGCTCAAGGGCTTGCAATGCATTATAGGGCATTTTTGCAAAGGGATAGCCATTTTGAAGATTTTGAGAGAGAGAGTCGTTTATTTTAGTGTGCCTTAGAATAATCAAACATGATGATCCAGTTGGCAATCAAAGAATCGTGGGTTTGTTTTATTATATCTATTCGAATAAATTGTGTCTTTCATCCACAAGTAATGTTCTTTTTCCTTTTAGATTACTGGTAGCCCTTTTAATTTGGGCTTATGTGTGGTGTAAAACACACCAGTGATGTCATCGGGCAAACAGTCTTCA